TCGTCACCTTGGTTTCCAAATACTATTTTTGGTTTTCTACCTAATTGGCTAACAGTAATTACATTTGTGTGCTCAGAATGAAGTTGAAGCATGGAGAAGGTGGTGATTAGTCCCATTTGAAAGCTCTTATTAGTAAAGTTAAAGTTATTCTTTATCCTAGTCATAATCATTTTAGCTACCATTTGCAAAGCACTTACTGTGTACCAGACACTCCATTAAGAATTTTATGTATATTATTTAATCATCATGACCACCTTTCAGATTGATATTACTGTGTTCTTTTTATAGTTGAGAAACTCAGGATACCTGATTATCATTTTTTTCCATATAAATGTATTTCTTATTCTTAATTTATTTCAATTAGTCTTTGACTTTGTTTTTAGTTTGTTATATCCTGTTTATTATTTTTATGGTATAGGATCTGGGCTTGTCTTTATTACTGTAAGTAAGATGTCTCAGAGTTCAATGGTATGAAAAAAAGGACAAATTCTGGTCATGCCCCTCAGAAAAACTGAGTATTTGCCTTGATATTGGATCCTGTGCTTCTTTCATTGCTCCCAATTAAAATTTTTAAATGAACCATTTATCCCTTGCTGAGGGCCAATTACTTATATAGACTGCTTTCTCATAATGAACTAGTCTTGCTTATAGACTTAATATATCTTACTTTTAACCCCCTTTTAGCCCTAAGTTTTTTACAGTTTTTAAAGAATTTTAAAGACTTCTTTTCTTTTTGCATTTCTGAATTTTGAGTAGTTCCCCTGTGAAAATAATTATGGTTTCGTAAAATTCACATTCCATTTGTTTCTTTGAATCTTACCAAGCAGTCTTCCTTATAACAGCAACAATGAACCTCAACGGTTTTAGTGCTTTTATAACTGAGACAGGTCACAAATGTCAAAATCAAGTCAGTGGCTTGTAGGAGTGATGTTTTATTATTCTTGATGATGGCACAACCCATCACTTTTCTCTGAATTCTTGTCATGAGACATAGTGAAAATATGTCTAATACTCAATTATATGGTATTACATTCACTTAAGTTGCAGGTACCTTTAAGCCAAATTATACCATCTTTTCTCTGTATCTTAGCACCTTCATTTTCCTTGGTCTAGGAAATTTTAATCACTTTCCACCAACCTTGTATTTATTCTTCTAATGTTATCCGAAGTATTCTGCCTCTGTCCTCCTCAGCTTAAGAGCTTCCTTTAACTTCAAAGGCCTTAGGCAACAATTATTAAAATGTAATTGACTCTACTGTAAACTTGCTAAGCTAGTCATTTTAGGCATTAACATTTATTATCACCTCCATATTTACATTTACATAAGCTCTCATTGCTATTATTGAAAGATGCCCCTCCCCCCTGCTCCCAAGTCCTATTCTCCTAGTTTTGTGTTTTGCTTTTTGTCAGGAGAGAAAGACAAATGAGTGGTGTGATTTAGGGCAAAAAACACTGGGCTTCTGAACAGTAGATCTGAATTCTAGCCGTGGCTCTGTCATTAACTAGCTATGGTACCCCCAAGCAAGTCACCTGCCCTCTTTTGTTCACTTCTGATCTATAAAACAAGGTGGCTAGACAAGATGATCTGAGGCCAGTTCCCAAGGGAGAACCACTGGCATAAGGAAGTAAAGGCAAAGAAAGCAGACAAGGGATAAATTTCAGGAAGAGGATTGTGGCCTTTGGTTTAGAAGGCCAGCCTGCCCAGAAGAACCAGTGGTCCTCTCCTACTTTCTCCATAGCCCCTGACATTAAGGTTGAAGAGAATGGAGTTTCCAACAGCAATCATTATACATCAATTTTAGAAAACGAGATTTTTAAAGCTAAGATTTTAGACGTTTTCTGATTAACCCCCTTGATTTTATGGATGATTAAACAGATGCCCAGAGTAGCAGTAATACATGCAAATGAAATGCTCATTGACAGAATCTTCCTGTAAGACTATATATTTCAACAGAATATATATAATAGAGCTGAATGCAACTAACCATGCTCAATCTTTATAACTATTATCTGATACTTGTTCACATTTAGGAATAAAATATGAAAGAAATACTTTCTTAGAAATAGTATCAGGTTTTCACTACATCTATTCCAGCTCCTGTATTTCTTTTAATACTTTAAAATTTTAGATGTCTCTTTTTTAAATAATTTGCTTAATTTTGTACTATTTTCTTAACTACAGCATCTAAGCAATTCATGTGATAGTTACAATCTAAATTATTTAAGGTATAAATGTTCATTAAACCTACCTCATTAAGGAACTTGGTTGTAATTCTTGGGCAATTCCTAGAATCCTTTACAGAAACAGTGCTGTTTCTTTTTGCTGTTTTTAAACTTTTCAAACCAATTCAGAACTGGTATCTAATTTCCCTTTCTGCTGTGGTATGTGGTAAAACTTCAGCTGGAATTAAGAATTAAGGCAGAAGTAGGAGCAGATGCTTCAAATGCTCCCAAATTAGTCTCAGGTTATGCTAATTTCAGAGTCCTGCCACTAGGGCCATATGCTCTCTCAAACTTGTGAGGATTTGTTGGTGTTACAAAAAATATTTGTTTAAAAACGAGTACTTAAAAAAAAAATCCTATAGACTTCCCTTGTATTATTATACAAGTGTTTCTCTTTTCCCCGAGTATTTCATTATTTCTCAGTTTGTCAATAGCATTATTAGAGGGACAAAGGAGGAATACATCCATTGACCATTTTAGAAGTCTGAGCAGTAAGGTCCTTTTATATGTAAAATTGAATCATTACTCATACTAGTAAGGGCTTTCTACTTTTAAAATGCATTCAATCATTGCTTGTCATTTTTATAAAAACCAAAGTTGAAAAAATTTCTGAATCACAGGATCTTTATAGCCATGCATGCATGACTTCAGACAAGCTGAGCCTCTCCTTGTGAAGTAGTCACCCTATACCCTCTGGCAGCCTACTCCTCTTTCACCTCTCCAGTGTAAGGTAGCCCTGCTACTTTAACAACCTTAATCCAGGGATCAGGAGCTGATGGTATGGGAACCTGTCCCAGTGACTGCAGTTCCTTTTCCTTAGATAATTCTATCTAGAAGAGGTGATATCCCATTAGCATAACAGGATCAACATAGCAGATTAAATGAGACCGAGGGGAGTGGAGTTTGGAGGGAATGAGAATATCTGGTCAAAACTTTCTAAGGTAACTAGGCCTGTGGTTCTCAAACTCGTCTCCCATTGGAATCACCTGGGGAACTTAAAACCTTACAGCTTTCAGAGATTGTGATTTAATTGGTCTTGGGTGAGGCTGGGGCTAGGATTTTCAAAGATTCTAACGTGAGAGAAGTTGAGAACCACTTCTAGCAGGGTCCCGGATTTTTTTTAAAATCAAAGACAAACTTTCTACTTCTATTTTGCTAAGAACCTCTTGAGACTGGTACATTTTATTTCACACTGAAACTCAGAGAATACTGGAGTTGAAAGGGAACTGAGATCATTAGTCCAGAGACTGTACATGGGCAAATGTTAGGTCATTTATGGCTCCCAGATGTGTTTAGTCTGTATGGTGTTCTAAAAAAAAATTCACATAAAAATCTAGATGTGTGGCTTCTTTAAAAAATCAGGTCTGACATCCCTGGACCTGCAGAGCAGCAGCAGGCCAGCACTCACAATGGTTGAGCCCCTTAGCTGAGCACTTGCTCTCCAGTTTGCCAGTTGGTGCTGGTCTGACCCTACTCTTGCCTTCTCCAAAACTAAAAACTAACTTTCTTCAACTTTTACTCATTGCTCCCAGCTTTGCAGCACAAAGGAAGCTCATTCCTTCTTCCGCATGAAAGGGTTTCAACTTCTCAAGGGTAGGATTCTTGCTCTCTCTCCAAATGTTCTCCTCCAGCTGAATTCCCCCAGTTCCTTCAAGTATTCCCTGTGTGATTCAGGTTCTGGACTCCTAAATATCCTGGTCCCTTCCCCTGGATACATACTTATTGGTCAATATCCTCCTTAAAAACTTGCAGTGAGGTGTTCTGACACCTCACTATGAGGTGTGACTGACTATGGCTTGATATTGATATTGATAAAATCTGAACCACCACCAATCTTTCTCAGTGTCATCACATTGTTGGTTCATGTTGAGCCTGTGGCCAACTGGAATTCCTAAGTCTTTTTATATGAAATGATAAGAAGCCAGTTTTCTCTACCCCAAACTTATACATCCTATTTAATTTAAATGAAGATGTTAAATTTATGACCTGTTTAATTTCATCCTGATGGTGTCACTCTGCAACTGTATGAGTTGTGATTGTCATGTTATATCAGCAATGCTGAGTTGCTCCATCCTCAAATCTGATCTTTCTGGTGCCTTCATCCAAATTGCTGATTTAAAAAACAAAGCTGAGTAAGACAGAGCCCTGTGAAATATCAATAGAGGCCAAAATCACAAGAATTCATTAATCAACAATTCATTTAAACATCTGAAGAGATGTCCAGGTACTACACCATCAAGGCCATATTTTTCTTATCTATGAGGCTGTTAAGAAACCCTTTCAGGAAATGATTTATACTATATTCCATTTGTCTGACCTAGTGATACCAAAAGGTTAGGGCTTTCCCCATTTTTGAAAATCAGGACACTATAAGACAGCAGCTATTTCTTGCTGAAGGCTATCTAGCTACTTTAGGGTGTGCCAGTCCTTCCCTTTGAATCTTTATCTGATGGAAATGAAGTGGAGATCATAAAGGATTTCTCCTTAGGCAGAATTCAGGATTCAGGAAGTCAAGGAGACAGAGATCATGCATGTAGAACCAACAGCTGGCCAACTTAAGAAACCTGAGACAGAGCCTGTTAAGCAAATGGCAGAAAATTCTTTCTTTACATTAAATCTGATTTTCAACATGAAAATAGATTTAAATAGGAACCTTTAGTATAACCGTATCTAATGACCTTCTTGATCCAGTGATTGTCCCAAAAACAGGCAAAGAATTTAAATAACCCGACCAATTTGGAAACCACTTGGTATGCCAAGGTCATCCTCTCAGAAAAGCCTAAGTTATTGTGCTCACTGATCATCTCCCAAAAGCAGTTTCAGTCCTAGGAAGCTGATCCTCTGAGAATTATTTTGGGACTCTTCGGAGTTCATTCATGAGCCAAAGGGCAACACTGAGCAGAGCCAGGGAGCCCGACTGGTGAGTGGCAGCCAAAGGAGTTGGAACATACATCAGCAGAGTGGTAATGCCCAAGCCCACCTGTTACAAAGGAAAGGAGGCAGTAAGCAAAGTCAGAACCACACATTCAGAGCTGAACTGACTGGCAGGGATGACAAGATACACACACCCTCCACATTCTCCCATCAGAACATCAAATACATATTTTTGAACTTCACAAGTAAATGTACTTACAACAAAGGAAATTCAAAGAACACAGAAAAACCTAAAACTCCCCTTAATTATTCTTCATCCAGCCCAGCTCTACACACAGCTTCTACACACTTGTACTTCTGTACATATGTTTACAGAGAAACATAATTGTTTGCTTTTAAAAAATATACTGTTCTGTCACTTGCTTTTTTTCACTTAACAACATATTTCTTGAGATCTTATTTTGAACTGCCATACAGTATTCCACAGTAATGGATATACCGAAAGATGTTCAGCTATTTAGGTTGTTTCCACTTTTTCACTATCACAGCAATTCCACAATGCATTTCCTTGGACAAAGCTCTTTGTACATTAAACTTATTAGGTACTAATAAGTCAATTTGCTTGACCAAAGGATTATACATTTAGCACTTTAAAAGATTTTGCCAAACACCCTCTAAAAAAAGCTATACCAACTCATTCTCTAAGAAGATACAAGGATATCCATTTTCCTACACCCACGCCAAAACCTGATTATCTTTTTTTCCAATCTGACAGGTACAAAATGGCACACATTATTTTAATTTGCTCCTCTCTGATCATGAGTGAGGCTAAACAGCTTTCCATACTTATTGGCCATTCATCGTTCTTGAGAGAACTGTGTATTAATTTCCTTTACTTATTTTCTGGTTGGTAACCTTTCAGTCTATTATAATTATTAAAAATATTTCCTCCTAGCCTGTCGCCTTTCTTTTCTAACTTTGTTTTGGGGACACCTTCAGAACAAAAGCTGGTTTATACCTGTGTGTAGGCCAAAGCTAGCAGAGTTGCTGCTGCTATCTTGGTCCTTCGAGGAAGGGGAATTCTCCGGGAGAGGAAGTAGAGTGCTGTGACGGCAGTAACTGAAGTGATCCCCTGCAGGGAGAGAGTCTCATCAAGTGCCAGGAAGAAATGTCCTCATCCTCTTGGTTTCTGCTCACCTTCCACGTATCTCCTCCAGATCCACTGAGCAACCAGTAAGCACTTTCCTGTCCCAGGCACAGAGAACCACCTACACTGCCATCCCTGACCACTCCTCCTCAGCCTCTTCCATGCCCCTCTGCTGTGTGCCACTTCAATGTCAAGCAGACATGGCTCCACCTAAAGTCTCTGCACATATCACTTTATACACATTTTCTCTCAACCATCTTATCCACCTTCCAATGTGGGTGTCCCCCAGGTTGGCCCTCAGTTTTTAAATCATTCTTTTCAATCTTATCCCTAATTTTATCTCTGCCCTCATCCTGTATTTTTAAAACAGCACATGAGGAGGTTGTCGTGTTGCCAGCTAGTGCTAAAAAAGATCTAAAGTCTCATTTTCATTTCTACCCCTTCAGAGAGTCTGGAACTGGCAATGGGGTTTCTGCCCCGCTTCCACGATGTCAAGGAGAATGTTTTTCTATCATTTTCCATACCAATTTCACTTCTTTTCCTTTTCAGAGCTGCCCATGATGACAATTTCAACTAGACTTTACTTATTCCAAAATGCTGTGTGGCCGTGGGGACTGAGCCCACACCAGGAAACACGCCCACGCCCAGCATTCCCTTTGGATATGAGTCCTCTGGATATCCTCTGTCTCTAGCTCAACACTTACTCCACTAGTCCCATTTCTGCTGGTGTGTTTCTAGCATGCCACAGAAGAAACTCTGGGTCCTCCTTTGATCTTTCTTCACCTTTATTCCTGCAGCCAATCTTCTATCCCTTACAACCTCTCTCAGAGTCACCATTCTCAAGTCCCAGTCCCACCACGAAGCCCTGAACCCCATCACTCTCACTGCATTACTACAACAGCACTACTGTCTCTCACTGGTCTTTTCCTGCTCCAATTTATCATACCCAGGCCACCAAGCCAATCTTAACATGACCCCCAGCAAGCCCTTAATAAATATCAGCTTCAATAAAATAAGGAGTATTGAATAAAATGGTGCTCTCAGCTCCTTGGGGTGTTGGTTCAGTGCTGACAGCTATGTGCTCAGCAACCACTGTCTTTGCACTCTCTTCTCTACTCAGCCTCATTTCTGCTAAAATGATTCTCCTCTGCATGTGTAGGATTGAGGGGAGTTATCATTTGCCAGATGGTAAAAGGCATATTTGAACTTTAAGAAGCTGGTAGTATTCTGAAAGTCAGAATTTGGCTAGAGGAGGTGTGGGAAATTAGAACAAAAATGTCACATCAGAGAATGGGTACTAAATGTCTTCTAAAAAGAAAACGAAATTTAGTTCCCATTCTACCGTCTCACTGTTGCCATCAGTGCTCCAGACACGCCAGAGCCTGCGAGAGGCTCCCTGTGCTCAGTAGCCAGAAATCACCAGCCAGACTTACCAGAATCCGGTGGTCAAACTGCACCATGGTGGGATTCTCAAAAACATTCCTCAGGAGAGGGGAGAAGGTAAAGAGATCCTCTGGGATCCAAGATTCTCCCATCTTGGGGAAGGAGTTGTAAACAAGTCCAGCATCCAGCCCTGCCACAAAAGCCCCTGTATTCCAAGGTAAATAGTATTTATTAAAATGAGAGAACACAGAGACCAAATACCAGTTCTGACTCAGTAAAAGCTTATCATCCCAGAACTAGACAAAAGGAACAGTCAGAGAATAGAAAGATCTACAGCAGGGGTTCTCAAATAGGGAATATATATCACAATCACCATGGAAATTAAAAAAAACAAACCAAACCCAAACAGCTGCATCCTCACCTGCTCCCAACTCAAGATTCTGGCATGCCTCCCTTAGAGGAGTGGACTAGAACCTCTAGAGGCATATTAGCTTGGAAAAGATCCCGTAGTGATTCTGATGTCCTCCTTCCCTCCACAACTGAGAACTGCTGATCTATCCTGGAAATGCTCTTCCCCAGACATCTGCATAATGTACTTCTTCACTCCACTCAATGTCACCTTACCAAATCCTATTAAGATGGCTCTCTCCCACCCCTGAATCCCCTTATCTTGCTTTACTTTTCTTTGCAGGACTAAATACTATCTGACATACTATGTTTTATTGATTATTATCTGTCTTCCCCAAGTGCTCAAAAAAACCTTATAAACTAAATCCTGTATAAACACATAAAAAAGGTATCCATGAATTTAATGGATTACTGATCCATTATTTATGATCAAAAAAGATTCAGGTATGTATAGATCACATTCCTTATTTTTATAAATGGCATTTATAAAGTCAAAACTCATTTTCTTCCACCAAAAAAAGAGGGGGAAGAGGTTTGGATGATAATTGGTTTGATGGTTTTCCTTAGAGCTGTGCTGTCCAATAGAACTTTCTGCAGTATTCTAAATCTGCCATCCAATACAATAGCTGCCAGCCACATGTGGCTACTAAGCCCTTGAAATGTGGTTAACGTGACTGAGAAACTGAACTTTAAATTTTATTTAATTTTAATTAAGTTTAATAGTCATATGAGGCTGGTGATTATTGGATAGGGCAGTTCTAGAGTAAGAGAAGTGGAGGTGTGATTTAAAGAAGGAGAAAGATCTATGTTAGTCTCTTTGCCCCAATAAACTCCCCACCTGAGGCCATCTCTGAGAGCAGACCTTTTGTCTGATCCATCCTGATACAATGTAATAATAATAATACTCATGTTTATATAATAATAATAGTAACACTTACATTGACTTTGCTACATGTCAGGTACTGTATTATCATTATCCCATTTTACAAATGAGGTCACTAAGGCCCAGAGAGATTGCACAGTTTGTCCAAGGTCATATAGTTCACAGGTGGTGAAGCCAGGATTTGAACCTTGACAGTCTAAATCCAGGTAGATGCTCAATATTTTTGTTCCACTGACTGGAAAGCAGGATTTTGGGGAGGAAGGAACAGGAAACAACAGGGTGAAGACGATGGGTATGAGAGAGGCAGATGTGAAAGGGAAATACAAGGATGCAGGAGGAAAAGAAATAGGCAAGGGATCCTGCCTGACTGGAAAGTAACGAGGCCATCTTTGATGAGTCCTACCTGAGAGAGCTGTAAGGAACACCAGGCCTGCAGTTCCATGAGCAAATCGTCTCAACCACAAGAGTTGACGGGTTTCAGGCAACTAGAGAAGAAAAATCACAGATAAACTGACTGCAGGAACTATGAGAGGCAGCAAAGATCTCCCGAGCCACACTCAAGTGACAGTTTGAGATCAGATCTTCTGAGCCCTCGACTAGGTTAAGTACTCCCAGCAGACAGAATCTAACACGCATCATATTGTATTAAATTTGTACATTTTCTATCTGTCTTCCCTGGTGTCCTGTGAGTTTTGTGAAGGCAGGAACTTCCATCTAACTTGCTTATTACTGTAATCTTAGCCCAGTGCTTGGCATATAGGTATTCAATATGTATTTGTTCAGTAACTGAATGATTTGCATTGTTCAGGGGAAAATACTTCACCATGGTTAAAAAGGTGACTTAAGATGCAGAATAGGATTTTCATGTTGTGTGTGATATTTAGTGTTTAGCAAATATATCAGAATCAAAACTGCATAAAATGCTTAGGGATTCTTGGAGTTAGTGTTTTTGTAAAGCCAAAATTTGTTTTTATTTTTACTGTAGCCAACTTGTGATAATAATCAGAGTCAATAAATATTTGTTAATAACTTTATAAACAGGTAACCATAAAAATACAAAGGAGTGTTAAAATGCTGCCCTCAAATGATTTACAATCTAGTATGTGAAGAGTTAGGTATCATTACTAAGATTTCATAGGACAGCGCATCAGCACTGTCCAGTCAGGTGTTCTAGCATGGTGGAAATGTTCTACTGTCTGCGATGACCAACATGTGGCTAATGAGGACTTGAAATGAGGATAAAGCCACTGAAAGTTAGATAAAAAGTTAATTTTATTTAAAGTTTAAGTAAATAACAAGTTTGTTTAAATAAAGTTAATGTAATTTAAATTAGAATTTAAATAGCCACATGTGGCTCATAGCTACTGTGATGGACAGCATAGCACTTATACAATTGACTATCATCTAAGATCCTTTCTGTAATTAGTGGAATATAATTAAACAAAAAAAGAAAAACAATTGATAACTAGAAAGTCACTAGTAATCTTTAAGAGTACCACTTTAGTAGAGAGGGTTTAGGAGAGTGTGGGCATATGTGTAAGTGTCGGGGTGAATGTGTCGATGTGTATGTATATGGGTGGGTGGGGAAGCCAGATGACAAGAATTGGAAAGAAAAAATGGGTTGTCAGGATGTACAGCTATAGATGTAGGCAATTCATTTTAGAAGTCTGGCTTTGAAAGTAAGGAGAATAGGAATTATTCAGATGTGGATTGTCTACTATAACAATATTTCAACCTCCTCCGTTTCCCTGTGAGGAGGACTGTCTAGTCAGCATCTCCTGTCCTTATTGGGATCCAGACTGCAGACTCCAGGGAGCTATTAGATTCTACTTAAAAGTCTTACTGTCATCCCAAACTTTACTCCATGAACACGTTATCCAGGCCAATCATGACTTCAATATCTAAAATAATACTCATTTAAAAAATACCTAGAAGTTTTCTTTAAGCAGCATACAAAGAAAATACTTTTCAGCAAGATCACTAAGGCTTACTATATTGTTAGAGATGATGAATGGTAGGGTCCCCATGTAAAGAACAAACAACCCAACATGGCTCTACCACTGAAGGTCCGCAAGTAGCTCTCTTTCTGGCCTTCCTCACCTCTCCATCCACCATCCCTCTGGAAGTCAGAAGTAAAGTGGTTGGGGTATCTCTTGTTTTTGTACTCTTACCCTCTTTTTCCAAAATTTATGTTTTTACCTTTCCCGATAGGCAATGCTGACAAAATATTTGGCTCCGAGACTAATTCTCCTTTGAATGAGTTCCTCCAGCCCAAAAGAATAATTGAAATTTTTACTTTGTGATCTCAAAGCTATTCAGAGTCCCAAAGTTAAGTGTTTCTCTAAACTTTGGTTATATCTAGTTTCTGGTAAATCAATAGATGTTACTAAGGGAATGTGTACATTTTGACGTATAACTTCCCATCAATACCAGAATTTCTGCTTCTCTGACCCTGCCAGCATCTGTGCACATGTGGTAACAATACAGACTGACTTTTACCTTGTGTTGAGGGAGCAGCAGTGAGAGCGAGGTCCACAAGCTGGCACAATAAAGAACAAGGGCTGATCCCAGGTGGGCAGCAAGGCGGTACTGACTGACCCGAGGGATGTCATGGGAATCTGGTTTTTCTTCTAATCCACTTTTCACCATATACCATCCCAGAAGACCCTACAACCAAAAAGAGAAGAGGCCAGTAAAACAAGGTTGAAGCTGTCTATTCAACTTTACTCTCTCAGAAAGTGAGTACTCTTACCTGACCCCTCCTTTTCATATCCTCCCATTATCTCCAGTGTCCCAGGAATCATCCATTTTCCACATATAGCACCATGAATACTTAACTACTGTTTAGAGCAACATTTTATTGAAGTAGAATCCATAGAAAAGTACACAAAAGCATATTTGTGGGCAAAACCGTCACATACTTGACATAATTTAACATTATGTAAACCTGTGAAACAATGAGAATAAAAAAGGGAGTTGCTTCTATAAAAACTAGACTGAATGCTTTGGAAAAGCATGACAAAAGTAACTGCTTAAAAACAATTACTGTTACATTAGGTGGGAATAGACAACTATAAAAGTTTTGAGGGAGAAGTAAAAAACCTGTAAGGTTTTTCAGGCAAACTACTTTGAAAGTGTCTAAATTCCTATACTTCTTAAAAAAAAAAGTAATGAAAGTATCTAAATTTAAAAGTTTAAGGCATGTATTATTTAAAATTTTTTTAATTTTGTTTTATTGAAGTCTAGTTGATTTACAATGTTTCAGGTACACAGCAAGGTGATTCAGTTATACATATACATATGTAAGTATTCTTTTTCAGATTACTTTCCATTATAGGTTATTACAAGATATTAAATATAGTCCCCTGTGCTATATAGTAGGTCCTTGTTGTTTATTTTATATATAGTAATTTTTATATATAGTTAATATCTGCAAATTCCAAACTCCTAATTTATCCTTCCCTCCCCTTCCCGTTTGGTAACCATAAGTTTGTTTTCTATGTCTGTGAGTCTGTTTCTGTTTTGTAAATAAGTTCATTTGTATCATTTTTTTAGATTCCACATATAAGTGGTATCATATGATATTTGTCTCTGACTTACTTCACTTAGTATGGTATCTCTAGGTCCATCCATGTTGCTTTAATTAAGATAGGTATTATTATTCTGTGATTCCGTTTTAACTGACTTTTTCAATTAACCAGACAACTGTCAGTTCCAGTTATAGATTAGATATAGCCGTTTCACCCCAACCCTCCCGAGCCAGTAGAATCGTGTCAGAGGATTCTCCTGCCTCTTCTAAATAGATACTCTTCAGGAAGTCTTTTTAGGTATTTCTTTCCCCCTTTACGATTACCCTGGATGTTCTAGTTATCTTGATTTCATCTGCATAGGACATTGGAAGACGAAGGAGTATACAGTGTGATCTGCCAGCCCCCACTTTCTCCCTCCTATAACCCTAGCTGCCACCTTCAAATTTCTGCCTCCCTGGGAATCTGTCATAAGTTGGGTTTTGTTTTGTTTTGTTTTCTAAAACAAACATTCATTTTGTTTTACCTACCCTCCGCTAGTTTCTATTAGACTTTTAATGTCTCACTTTTTACTATCTGTTTCTATTGCCTCTATTTTGTCTCTTCCACCTCCCTCTTACAGAGGTTAGACAACTTGCCCTACTAAGTGACAGAGCTGGGCCTTGAAGCCAGGTCTATGACACTAAAATCCATCCTTTTACATTCTCTGTTATATTGCCTCAAAGATTACTTCCTTAAAAACAAAGCCAACCAGGACACTCCTGAGAACATCTCTGGTTTCCCAAACCTAAGTAAATCTCACCTGGAAGCAGACTAAACCACAGAGGGCAAGAACACGTCCTTTTAGGCCACGGTTGAGCCAGCCCTTTCTCCAAAAGTAGACAGCAGGCAGGATGTATGCGAGGCCTACAAGGCGACCCCACATTCGGTGTGAATACTCCATGTACCAGATGAACTTGAATTCTGCCAATGTCATATTGTGATTCAAGCTGGGTGAAAAGGGAAGTGAAAAAATAAGAAAGAGAAAACATCTATCTGATGTTTATTTCCTGCTGGAATGCAGGAACATCCTCGGTTTTGAAGCTTGATTCGTCTGCCCGCTTCCTCATCAGCTATGTCAGAATCTCTCTGGAACTGGAGGTTTAGAGTAGGGAGCTTGCTAAACTTAACTGAGCCAAATATCAAGAAATAATAGGCCTCTCTTGCTCCCTCATCTTTGGAGACAGCCCACACTCTGTCTATGGAGTGTGTATCCACTTTTAGTTTAACTTGAGCACACTCAACCTCCACACCTCATGGCCTTTCTCTTGCCTTCTGTAACAGCCTACACTCTACGTAGTACGTATCTCTCTAAGTAAATCTATCTTTACTCAAAAAAAAAAAAAAAAAAAAGAAAAGAAAAGAAAGAAAGAAAGAATAGAACCTAACCATTCTGAAATGTTTAAATAAGCCAAAGACTGAGTGGGCCCAGTGTGTCCTTTACCTGATTTTCTATAATACTTACATTTTAAATTCTGGAAACTGCTGGTATTTTTGGAATTCTGCTTCCCACTCCTCTTGGCTTGTAGGTGGCTTCATCTCTTTTATTAAATGCCAATCTACCATTGAGAGGCCAGACTCTGTCAATCTTAAGAGAGGAAAGAAATTTGAGAGTGCATATATGGGCACCACACTGGATTACTCATAAACGGTTTACAGCAGCAAATGGATCTGAGCTTAACCCCTCCAAAGGTAAACACATCGTTTCACTGTTTCCTCTTCTGACAACCTGCTCTCTTCTTACTGCTTAGAATTCTGTGAGAAACAGCTGCCATAAACAAATTTCTTTACTCTTTGTTCTTTTTCATTTAACTCTCCTTATTTCTTTCACTAGTATTCTGTGACAGATAAAATCAACCCTCAAGCCAAAGAAATGTGCCCTAAAGGCATAACCAATATTATTTACACAGGGAGAAGAGATCTGCTACACATATTAAATGGTTTAGGTTACTGACTGAATTTAAAGACAATAAAACTCAAATTTGTCGCAGTTTACCGTAATAGCCTATTATAACACATAGGTATTTTGAAATAAGGGCACAAGGAATGTGGAGAGAATTTGAAGAATACATATTTTATTAGCATTAGAAAGGAGCTCCAGTGGTGCAATCAGTTAGCATGCAGTACTTACACAACACTAGAAAGTATTTTCACCAAAAGGGTTAGGCTTCCTAAAGTAAAAGGTTGATTTCAAGTAATGAAATGTACAAGACAAGCCTGGAACATCTTATCATCCAAAAAGCAAGGAATTAAAGGTTACTAGGGTCCTGTCAAAAAGACTCTGGAGCCAATGTGAAGAGGCTCCCACTGACTAAAGATGGGACAATTTGAGCACATCATCATTAGTACAATGACTGAAACCTATTACAAATTTTAAACCTATGAGGTCTTAATACTTAAAAACACTTTATTGGTCACCTCTGGTGAATGCTTGGGAACCAATTTATTATTCTAAAAATTGGTAAATAAAGGGAAAGAATCAACTGTTTGTCCTGCCTTTCCTAACAAACTGTACCTTCGGATAACCAAATTGTTAATCAAAGTTTCTCTTTATAGTTGAGCTAATAAAATAATTACAATTTCACGACTCTAATGAAATAATGGATTTAGGCTATGGTCATCAATGGCTGATGACATCTCTAATAGACACCAGATATTTATGAATGCTCTAATCACCTATGAAGTATATCACCCCTTGACCCCAATTTGAATCTGATCAAGCAACAAGTGGTTTACAGGAAATACAAGGGACAATGGAACTTGTTAAACACCACAAGTATGCAATCAGCAAAATCCAGACTGTGGGAAACACCATAGGACAAATTACTTGGGTTTCTTCAACAATCAAAAAATACTATAAAGGGGGTTGGGGTGGTGGAGGGAGTAGAATCCAAATCTATAAAATCTCTTTATAGATTTAAAGAGACCCAAGAGGCACAGGAACCATTTGTGCTTAATTCAAACTACAAAAATTTTTAGACAAATTTGAACTGAGTGTAGGGGAAAAAATACACACAAAATACACAGCTAACAGTTAAGACCTGAACAAGTCTTTATCAAAGTCTCCTCCTAATAAAACCCTAAACTGTTCTACAGCTGGGCAAGCCATCACACACGTTCCCTCTGTAGGCGTAAAATGAGGGAGCTAGACTAGATGTTTTCTAAGGTCCTTTCCCCCTCTGTCATCCTGCACTTCTACTGATGACCCAAATAGCTGACTCGCTATGAGCAAATTACTCACCTAGTTACTCCACCAAGAATAACTGCTCCAGCCACTGTTCCACTGCAGACCAGGAGCCATCGGCCTACCACCCGCTCAGCAGCCTTTGAAGGAAGGGACACTGCACCCCTTCCAGATTGCAACGCTACTTCAGAGATTGTGCTGTATTGCCCTGGCCTCAAGGGGTGCCTGATGCCACAGCTGCAACCATACTAAGAATCAAGAGAGACAAATTACAACTAGAAAAAGAAAAGGCCTCACTCCACTGCTACTCATGCTCAATCTCACTGCAGTGGAATGTCCTGAATTGCTACATCTCCACTGCTACTGCCCTGGTAAACCATGGTCTCTTATCTGGATTACTGCAACCACCCCCCAACTGCTTTTCCTGTCTCTAGTCTTGCCTCACTCTAATCCATGCCCACACTATATGAATCTCCTGGTATCTGCATACTTCCCCCAGATTTAACTCTACACCTAAATGTGGATCATTTTCTTTCTCCTATGGGTCTTTATGCATGATTTTTCTCTGACTGGGGCACTACTTGTCCCCAGACTGATAATACCTACTGCAGATCTCTGCTCAGATGTCACCTCCTCTAGGAAGTGTTCCCAGACTCTCCCATGTCTGTAACAGGTCACTCTCACAGCACATTGTACCTGTCTATCATAGCCCTTTACACCCTGTAATGTACCATTCAGTACACGGTACATGAGATTTGTCTCTACCTCCCACTAAGCTATGAGCTATGAGACAGCAGTGTCTGGTGGGTCTGGCCCTTTCCCTCCTGCAACCTTTGTTTCAAACAGTTCCCTTACATAACAAGATTTGACAAATGGGAATTACAAATTAATGAACTGACTTCCTCTAGGGCAGGAGACTTGGTATTTTCTTTCACTTCCCAGGTCCTAACACATAATAATCACTCAATAATTATTAGTTTAGCGAACTCACACTCTCTTCTGATTCTGAGTCCAAAGGCCCATGTTCTGTTTCCTGCTTCTAATTAACTAAGTAACTTTAGACAACTTAAATCAAGCCTCAATTTCCTTCCCTGTATAATGAGGTTATAGTCTCTAATCTGATACCTGGGAGCTTTGAGTAAAAATCAAATATATGGGTAAAAACTATTGAGCTTTAGCTAAGCCTCGATGTATATTAAATTATTTAATCCTTACCACAACCCTTATGAAGTAGGCACTGTTATCCCCATTTTGCAGATGAGTAAATTGAGGCACAGAAAAGTTACCTAATTTGACTAATACACAGCTAGTATGTGGCAGATCCGTATCCGAACTCAGGGTACCCGGACACAAGGAAATGCAGGGTGGACTCTAAGGAACTACGGAAACTTGACGTGCGGGGATCTATCTTCTCTCTCCTGGCCCTTTCACGCCATGCCCCCTTCCGTGACTGAGTCCGCTGCAGTGCAGTACCTGTGTTCTAGGCACCGCCCTAGGAACCAAGAGTCGGAGACACGGGCTCCCGATCAAGGCCTTCAAGGGCAGAAAGAGTAATCGCTGCATACTTAGGACAGTGCGCTGCTGCCACTCCCACACCTTCGCGCTCAGCGGTCGCCTTTTTCCGCCACCAACTGGAAAAGCACTTCCAGGTCACACAGAACAAGCCCCTCCTTAAAAGGTCAGGGCGAGCAGAGACTGCGCCTGCGCTGGAGACTGAGCTGTCGCAAGGGCTGCTGGGGCATGGACGGGGACGCGCAGGGACGCGCGCAGCGTTGGGGACGCGCTTTTTTGGTCGCGCGCGCCGGAACCTAGACTCTTGAGTGGAAACCGAAGACGCGCGCGAGAGGAACGCGTGGAGCATGAAGAGGCAGGGAGCCTCCTCCGAGCGGAAACGGGCGCGGATACCGTCCGGAAAGGCCGGTGCGGAAGGGGGCGGGGAGGGGGCGGTCGGCAGACTGCGCTCCTGGGCGCAGGCCAGGGCAGACCGGGCCGGCGGGGTTTCTGGCCAGTGGATTAATCGCGATTTCCCTCGGAGTAGTTTCACCTGCTCATCGCAGCACCCCCCGCGCTGTATAATTCTGACATTCCGGCTTTGAACGTGTGGAAACCCGGGGTTTGGTGGAGAGAGTTCCCTGGCTTCGTAGCCAGATGTGTAGACTCGAATCCCGGCGCCACCACGTCTTGTCATGCGACCGTGTTCAAGTTAGTTAACTTCGTTTATTCTCACGTTTCCCATCTCCACACGAGGATACCAGTATCCCTCTTACGGCATCGCTGTGATGGTTCAGTGTCGAGTACTGACCACACTGATTAACCTGTGGGGACCTGTGGTCACTACGGCGGGGGTGGGGATTGTCCCTAAAGCCATACTGCTACCAAGTGGCAGAGCTTGGCTGCCACAAGTCCCGAGTTCTTCCTGGCATGGCAGGTGCTAGGGAATTTGGCAGGTCGCTCCCCCGTGAACTCTTGCTTCCTCCAAACCAGCGTTTTTATCTCAGGACTCCCTTTACCCTCCTAAAAGTTGGGAAACTCAAAGGCTTTTAATTTATGTAAGTTAAACCTATCGGTATTGGCCATGTTTAGAAATTAAAACAGAAGCTTAAAAATCATTTATTAACTAGAACAAAACCCCATAATAAACCCATTACTTGTTAACACACATAACATTTTTAACGAAAAATCATTATTTTCCTAAACAAAAAATAATAAGATGAGTGCCAATGTTTTATATCTTTGCAGATCTATTTAATATCTGGCTCAATGGAATTCTTACACCTGCTTTTGCATTCAATCTGACATGTCAGGTAGCCTCCCCAAAACTCCCCTCTACTTGTGACAGAATGACAGTGAAAAAAGGCAAATAAAGTCTTAGTGTTATTATGAAAATAATTTTCACTGCACAGACTCTGAAAGGCCCCTAGTCCAGAGCTGACTGGACTGCTACACTAAAGGAACTGTTGCTCCAAACAGATACCGTCTTCTTTGATCCCTACGAATAACTTCATTTCTTAGGAAAACTGCCTTACTCTGCCGTCTGTCATTGCCTTTTGTGTGCATCCCACTCTCTCCTGGGCATGGTCTTTCCTTATGTGAGGCAAATGGTACCTCTGCAGCACTGCCCAGGTAGATTGATCTGACAGCTAGTGTGAGTGGCTATCAGGAAACTCATGGAATTAATGTAGTGCTGCTGGCTAAATGCATTGAGTCGTCTTTAAAATAAATGAGGCAGTTGCAGTTTGCTGTTAGCAAATGATAGATCTTTGTTTTTCAAATTAAAAATCGATTTAAGAAACTATAAAATCAATATTGGGTAGGAAAAAATTAAGCAATATGGAAAAGTAAAAAGAAGAAGGTAAAAGTTATTTCAAGTCTCACCACCTAGTAGTAACCATTACCAGTATGTGGTGAACATTCTTTTAGGTATTACTGCCTGAAGTATGCATTCAGTATTCTTAATTTAAAAAAAAGTCTGTGCTTAACTTACAGAAAAAACTCAAAACTCTGTTTTCAGCACACTCTTTAATGTAAATACATGCATTTTTTAAATAAATTTGTAATTATTCAGCCTTCAGTAAATCTTTTTGTGACTCCGGTGTACCATGGTAGATAATGTGCTTATTGTGGGCCATAATAAAGATTTCTTACATACAGACCTTACTTAAGAACTTTAGATCAAGTAAGAGTGATCAGACACTTATCTACATAAATAATAATAAGAGATAGAAAATAATTAGTGTTTTAAAGAGATACAAATTGTTTTAAAGAGGAACATGTAGCTTATGAAGAGTTATATGAGTTCGAAAAAGAGAGATACAATTTCCTACTTTGGGAGAGAGGAAACATCATGGAAATGTGATTTGATATGAGCCTTGGAAGACCTTAGTGTTCAAAGATAGAGCTGGCAAACTACTACATATAAAATAGATAAACAACAAGGTCCTGTGTAGCACGGGGAACTATATTCAATAGTTTGTAATAACCTATAGTGTAAAAGAATCTGAAAAAGAATAGCTATATATATATGCATAACTGAGTCACTATGCTGTACACCAGAAATTAACTCAATATTGTAAATCGACCATACTTCAATTAAAAGAAAAAAAAAGAAAAAGAAGTAAAGATAAAGCTAGAAGCACTGAGGAATGATGAGATGGCATAAGCAAGATCAGAGTTGGGGATTAGAGGAAACTAGAGGCATATAGAAGAAATAATGTATAGTTAATGAATGATAGCTAATACTTTTTTTACACTTAGTGGGTACTGTGCACTTTACATGAATTACCTCACTTTATCCTCACCACTCTGAGGTAGGTACTAAAACCTACTCTGTTTTACAGGAAACTTAGGCTAAATAACTTGTCTAGAATCACACAAATAATTTGTGGGACCAGGGTTTGAAGTCCATCCCTGCTCTTAAACACGCATTCCTTATGAAGGAGTTTAAGCATATTCTGCAGGCAGAATTGAAAAGCATTGAAAGAATCTTGACCTGGAATATGGTGATGAAGTTTGTGTTTTAGCAAGTTTGGCATTCAGTGCATATTTTTCTCAGTGTAATTTCTTATACATATGTCTATGTTTTAATTTCACAGTCCAGAGACATCCCGCTAATAATTAATATGGTATTTATGGCCCTAGTGTACTTATCTATTTTGCTATTATTGGACGTTTGGATTTTGGCAGCAAAATGTGAAATATTTGTGGTAGATTGGTCTGGATGGATAGCACCATCATGAAATTGTGTTGTTCTCCATGTATTTTAGGAGCAGCAAATGGATTTCTCATGGAAGTGTGTGTTGATTCAGTGGAGTCAGCTGTAAATGCAGAAAGAGGAGGTAAGAGAATTAGAGAATGAATGACAGTCAGCTGTCCTTTTAAGAGTCTGAAAGTGAATCCTGTGAACTGACCTTCAGAACCTTTGTGATCTCTAAGGATCACAGTAATCCTTTTGAAAACAACCAACCAACTAGAAAACCTACTGGGAAATTATGATCTTCTGATCTTATTCCCTCAGTAAGTCACATTTTGAGTCAAGTATCTACAATAGTGCTCACTAACCAACTTAGCAAAGACTTAATTTTTTTCAAACCATAGATTTTAGAGATTTGTTGCCATTTTCATCATCAAGACTTTTATTTTTTTTAAACATATATTTTACCTTGAGATTTCTTTTGCACCCTGAACCTGCTTTAATAGGAAGCATAGAAATTCCCATCACCTCAGGATCAGAAACATTTTTAAACTTTATTTTGGAAAATTTCAAGCATATACAAAAGTAGAGAGACCAATGTGATGAATCCCCACGTACCTATTGCTCTGCTTCAGTTGTTTTCAGCACGTGGGCAATCTTTCATCTATATTGGGGGTGAGCAAACTTTTTGTAAAGGGCAATGTAGTATATATATCTGGCTTTGCTGGCCACATTTAGTCTTTGTCGTATACTCTTCTTTGCTTTTTTAAATAATCCTTTGAAAATGTAAACACCATTCTTAATTTGGCAATAGAAAAGAATGAAGTACTGATACAAGCTACAACATAGATGAATTTTGAAACATTATTCTAAGTGGAATAAAGCAGTCGGAAAGTACAGCATATTGTATGATTTGATTTATATGAAATGTCCAGAATAGGCAAATTTATATAGACAGAAAGTAAATTATTCGTTGTTGCCTAGGAGTGAAGAGCATGGGGAAAAGGGGCAGTGACTGCAAAAGGGTGTGAGGTTTCTTTTTGGGGTGATGAAAATGTTCTCAAATTGATTGTGGTGATGGTTGCAAAATTCTGGGGGTACGCTAACAACCATTGAATTGCACGCTTTTAATGGGTGAATTGTATGGTATGTGAATTATATATCAATGAAGATGTTATTTTTTAAAAAGACACAAAAACATTTTAAACTTGCCGGCCATAACAAAACAGAGCTGTGGGCCTTTGGCCTGTGGGCCATAGTTTGCTGACCCCTGATCTATATTCCTGCCTTCCCTCTCCCTCTTCCTCAAATTATTTTGAGGCAAATCCCAGACATCATGTCATTTCATCCTCAGATATTTCAGTATCTTTAAAAGATAAGAGCTCTTTAAAAAATAATAATATAACTAACATATCTTTAAAAAATAATATTTCTTAATATCATCAAAAAATCTAGCCAGTTTTCAGATTTCCCCAATTGGCTCACACAGTTTTGTTTTACTGTACTTTAAATCAAGTTCTAAATATTTCATTTGTTTGATGTGTCTGTTTCAATCTATAAGTTTCCCTTTCTTTTTGCTTTCCTTTCCTTATAATATGTTAAAGAAACTGACTTTCATCTTTTAACATATCCCACATTCTTAATTTTGCGGATTATACATGTAGTGTTATTTAATATGTTCCTCTGACTTCTGTATTTCCTGTAAAGTTTGTTAACCAAAAGGCTTAATTAGATTCAGGTTTCAGTTTTTTATAGGACTACTCTATAGATAATATACTCCCTGTTACATCACATCAGGAGGCTGTAACGTCTTAGTTTTGTCTGTTTTAGAAATATTAAGATTGATCAGCAGATTCAAATACAGTCAGCCTGATTCATCCTTTATAAGGTTTCCTGATCCATCCTTTATAATAATTTTAGCAATGCATATTTTAGTAGGGTTTGCAAAATAGTGCTATATTA